GAGGACCCTATTAGAAGTGTCTCCCTGTTTTAGATTTGTGTTTTTAATTTTGGAGAGAGTATTCTGTACTTGATTTAACGTCTGCCTGTCTCTTTTCTCTGAGGGGTTTTGGCTCAACTTTGTTATGGGGCTCAGGAAAATGGATAGGAAAGGTTATATGGTAGGCCCATCTACTTTATTTTTAGAATAGTTGTAGTGGTGTTTCAGGAGCTAAGAAATACCTGCCTCACAGGGACATTTAAGGAACCATTTCTCCTTTGCTTTTCCTGGTGCCTACTGCCCTGGACTTTAGAGCTGTTTCATGAAGTGGCAAGAAATGGAACAGATCTGTAGCTGGCGGGCTCTGCATGTACCCAGCAGCTTCTCTTGTGTGCCTGTACTTACCCAGCACCATGGCTTTGGTGCTCCCTAGAGTTCACCCCACCTCCTTGTTTGTACTTACCTTGATCTTAAACTACCCTTAGGAGTCATTTCAGACCTATCTCATGCACCATGCCTCTCTTCACTCTTACCATTTTATTTTCTCTTTTTCTCAAAACCTTTATAAAAAGTGCTCAAAGGATTAGCTTTTCACAAAGCATATTCTGTTGAAGCTCTGAGGAATGTTAATGTTGTCATATGCAAAAAAAGTTCTGTGGCCAGGTGAGTTTAGAAACAGAGAAGCAAGACTCTTACTTAGAGACTTGTAGGAGGTTTGTTTTGCTGTTGTCAATGTGACTCTCCAAGAGTCTAATAGAATATTCATGCAGTCCTTGTATTGTATTTTAGTATTCCCCAAAGTGTACGTAAGAGAAAAAATAAGGTCTGTACCATTTATTTAATTATTTACTTATTTAAATATTTATTTATTTATTTGAAGGCAGAGTTACAGAGAGGCAGAGGCAGAGAGAGGTCTTCCATCCGCTGGTTCACTCCCCAAATGGCTGCACTGGCCGGAGCTGGGCCAATCTGAAGCCAGAAGCCAGAAGCCAGGAGCTTCTTCTGGGTTTCCCACTTAGGTGCAGAGGCCCAAGGACTTAGGCTGTCTTCCACTGCTTTCCCAGGCCATAAGCAGAGAGCTGGATTGGAAGTGGAGCAGCCAGGATGCAAACCAGTGCCCATATGGGATGCCGGCACTACAGGCAGCATCTTTACCCGCTATGCCACAGTGCTGGCTCCTCTACCATTTGTTTTTATATTACATCTCATTGTGATGGTTAGGGTAGTAATGCTACTGTATAGTATACTTGTTCTTTTTCACCCTGCTACATATAATTTTTGAAGGGATTTTTATTTTTTTCCTGATCCCCTTCAGTGCTCAGCACATAAGCCATCAAACTGTTGGTTAATATCAGAACAAATGTTGATGAAAAAGTAAACTTGGTATTGTTCTTTTGTTATCTGTGGGTGGTAGAGCCTAAAATAAATTCTGGGCCTCAGTTCAGATTGGTCAGGCGTGCTTTTCTTTCTCTCTGTATTTCTGGATGTTCATATGATACACTTCTGATGTTACCTTTTTTAAAAGGCCTTTATTAATCGCTCTCTCTCCCGACTAGGTGATACCATAAACCAAAGCTCCCTGCCCTCACAGCAGAACCGTTTCCCAGACTACCTTGAAGCCATTCCTGGGACAAATGTGGACCTTGGAACACTGGAAGGAGATGGAATGAACATAGAAGGAGAGGAGTTGATGCCAAGTCTGCAGGAAGCTTTGAGCTCTGACATCCTTAATGATATGGAGTCTGTTTTGGCTGCCACCAAGCTAGATAAAGAAAGCTTTCTTACATGGTTATAGAGCCCTCAGGTAGACTGAATTCTAAATCTGTGAAGGATCTAAGGAGATAAGACATAATACCTGATATTTCCAAATAAGCCGGTCACAGTTTTCTGGCCAATACAGAAACAGATGAACAAACGTCCAGCAAGATTCTTTCATCCACTCTTCTGCTCTTCCTTGTCCATTGCTGCTGTTAATATATTGCTGACCTCTCTCACAGTTGGCCTTAAAGAATCAAAAAACAAAAAAGCAAAAAACAAAACTGTTTTATTTCTTTTGCTATTATAACTACTGTTCATTTGGGGGCTGGGGGAAGTGAGCCTGTTTGGATGATGGATGCCATTCCTTTTGCCCAGTTAGACGTTCACCAGTCATTTTAACTAAGTACTCAGACTTGGAAGTCAAATGCTTCATGTCACAGCATTTAATTTGTTCAAGCAATTGTTTCTTCAGCTGCCTTTGGCCAGTGGGAAAACAAGACTTACTGGTCTGACAAGCCAAAAATGTTGTATCTAATATTGAATGATTAATGCTGATTTGAAGAGATAGCTGAAACTAAGGCTGAAGACTGTTTTACTTTCAGTGTTTTTTTTTTCCTCCTAGTGCTATCATTAGTCACATAGTGACCTTGATTTTATTTTAGGAGCTTATAAGGCATGAGACAATTTCCATAGAAATATATTAATTATTGCCACATACTCTAGTATAGGTTTTGGTGGATATTTTATGGTTTTTTGTTTGTTTGTTTTTGTTTTTGTTGGAACCTAGGCAAATTACCATATTAGTGAGTCTGTTTATAGGTATAGCTTGGAGCGATTATTGTAGTTCTTTTGGTAAAATCTACATTTCCTAGTTTTTTACCATATTATTTAAATCTTGATTATTCGCTCTATACACACACACACACTTAAAATGTTTATAATAGTGTGATAGCAGAATGTATCTTTGTTTTTAGGTTTCTCTACTTTCCAGTTTATTTTTAAAATGGTAGCTTTGAATGTATGCATTTAGAGTACATGGCTAGTAGTTTATATTCACAGATAGTTTAAACTTGATTGGGGTAACCTACAGATGTTTGAGGTAGTTTAGTATTCTAGAAAGGGCTATTAACATGGATAGTGCCTAGAGGAGTACTGTATGCCCTCTGAACACATAATAAGTAGTATCTGATGAATTAGAAAGGAGCAAACAAGAAAAGGCTTTCTTTTCCCCCTTAGACTTCCCTGGACTAATTTTGAGTCTTGATGGGAAATCACTGAGTAGGTTTATCATGTACACGACAGAAGTAAGCTTTATAATGGTTTGCTGTCTTTAGCTTTGGAAGTTTATTTCTCCCTATTCTTGAAAGTCAATTCTAGTACTTTGGTTTCATTTACAATGAACACATTAAAGACTAGATTGAAATATTACCTGCAAAATTGTTGTTATAAGACTTGCTCCTACTTCCATATGCTGAAAATTGACCCTGGGTAATATATAGAATGCTATAAGGTATGAGTTAGCTGGTAAAGTGATCAGACTGAAAAATGTACATTGGTAGTTGAAATTAGCGAAGAAATAGAGATAATCATGATTATACCTTTATTTTTTACAGGAAGAGATATAATTAGAGTATGTGTCTACAGTAGTAATAATGGTTTCCAAAGAGTATTTTTAAAGGAACAAAATGAGCATGAATTAACTCTTCAGTATAAGCTATGAAGTAAGAGTTGGTTATGAATTATAGTGGCACCAGCTAGCACCCCTGTGATTTAAGGGTCTTTCAATGTTTCCAGAGTAAGCCCTTATTTTCAAGGGTTTATAACAGACATAAAATCCCTTTTCCTGGCTAAAGCTGCTATGAAAAGCCTCAGCCTGGGAAGATAGATTTTTTTTTCAATTATTACATCTAAATATTTTGGCCCTTCGATTTGGAGGAGTACAAAAATGGAAGTAAATTTTATTTTAAGTACTTTCAGTGCTGAAAAAATGCAATCACTGTTGTATATAATGATTCATAGGTCGATCATTCAAAAAATTGACTCTAAGGCTTTTATTAAGAAAACAGCAGAAAGATTATATCTTGAATAAGTCTGGGGGGAAATGGCCACTGTATAGATGCATTGAGTTTTAGAGCAATAATGAAATTCTGCCTAAAATGCAAAATTGAGTATATGAATGATACAGTATGTTGTTTTTAATGTGCAGAAGATCAAAGCTACTTAGAAAGAGTGCCTACAATTTGCCAGTAAGCCACAAATTAAGATCCTATCTTATATATCAGCAAAATAGCTTTAGCTTAGGGGGAGGGTGGGAGTGGGTTGTGAAGATTTAGTGGGACCTTGATAGAGAACTTTATAAACTTCTTTCTCTTCAATAAAGACTTGTCTCGCATCTTGCTATCATTGAAGGCAGTTTCTAAAATTTTAGTCACTTAAGTATACCCACGAACAAGAATATGCAGATCTTCATTTCCCCCTGACTTTAATTTTCCCAGTTATACCTCAATGTTGTAGCAACACTGTGGTACCTGACACAGTGCCTTGATGTTATCATACCTTATGTACTGACCTTAACGAGACCTAAGAGTCCTTTTCTCTTTTTGAGTTTGAATCACAGCCTTGATGTGGTCTTTCTTGTGTTATGTCGTTCCTCATGTAAAAGTGTTTAACTGCTTCTTGGTTGTATTGGATAGCATTGTAATAAGATTTTAACTGGGTATTCTTGAATTGCTTTTACAATAAACCAGTTTTATAATCTTTAATCTTACCAGCTTTTCACATTCGTGTTCTTATTAATTAGGGCTTCTTGATAATACTTGTGGTTGATGGAATACATTGATTTGGAGTTTCAGATCTTCCAAAGCAATATTTGTTGTAATAACAACTTTGTAAAAATTAGTGCCTTTTTTAAATAAGAAAAAATGAACATAAGGAGGTGACTTTGATACCAATAATGTTGCTATTTTAAGTATTCATATTAAATAGATGCTTTCATGACAGGAAGACTGAAAAAATAATAGTAATTCAGAATTCATACCAATCAGTGTTGCAGCTCCAACAATGCAAAAGTGAGAAGCAATATCTAGTAATTAACAATTCGGTAGCTTTTGTACATCTGAGAAATGAGTACTCAGTTGCATTTTATCTTTGCAAGCATGTTTAGGAGTTATGGGTGTGCCTGTCTTAACAATTGTTTTCTGTACCTTAAAAAAGTATTCTCCACTTTTTAAATGTTTTATATTAGAGATTTCTTTAATGCACACTTGTCAAATATATATATATAGTACCAATGTTACTGTTTTGTTTTTTTTTTGTTTTAGATATAAGAGCATGCTCATGTTAGGTACTTACATAAATTGTTACATTATTTTTCTTATGTAATACCTTCTTGTTTGTTTATGTGATTCAAATATATTCTTTCCTTAAACTCTTCTTTGTTGTCCTTAATAGTTGGTAGTATTCAAAACCTTTATTTGGCATACTGGTCTTCCAATAGGACAATCACGGGAAGTAAAAGATGACAGTAGTAACCAAAAGACAGGTCAAACTTAAAGTTAGTTTTGCTCCTTAAAGTTGGGTATGGCATTTGGAACCTTTGAAATATATATATAATTCTTAAATTAATGTTTTGTACTTTCACATGCCCATCAGTGATGGTGTCTAAAGGCAGAATTACGTCTACTTTATCCTGAAATGATTTTATATGTAACAGTGCGGAGGAAAGAGGCAAGCAAGACACTCTCAAAATGGCCTTTCTTTTTATTTCTCAAAAATATTCTCTCATGGTCTCCAAAACAGTACAGTTAACATTAGTGAAAAGCAGTATTTGTTGTTTTACAAATAAAAACACACATTTAAGTGGTAGGTCCTAAACCTTGAGTAAGAAGTAAATTTGACTGTCTTTGGAAATTTCTTTATCTGTGTATGATCAGTTATTGACACATACCACAGTTTTGCTGAGGCAAATCTGAAAATGTTGCATTATTTGCTATGCATGTTTTCTTTATATTAGTAGAATGCTGATTTCTGGAACAAAAGTGATCATTTCCTTAGCACAAAGTATAGTGGTTTTATATCTTAGCTTTCTCTGTATAGACATTGTTCCTCATATGCGGAAGTTGTTTCATCTTTCTGTTGTATGGCTTGACATCCAGTATTACAAGTCCACCTTCATTCTGAAGAGTAGGTTTGGATTTGAGAATGGTCCGTTAGGAAGAAAAAAAGCATTCCGAATATTTGAAAATAATAGTAGTCTTAAATCCTAATATTGAGTAATTTACCCATTTTTTTTAGACCCAAAATTTAAATAGTCTGGTAAATGAATTGTTAGCTGGATTGTCATCTTCCGGAGAGAGAACAAGAACTAGCAATAAAAGGAAATCTAGGTGACTGTAGGGGTAATGGGTAGCCTGGTGGGTTTTTTATATATATATATTTTTTTTTTTTTTTTAATTATTTTATTTATCTGAGAAGGAGCTCCCATCTGCTGTTTAACCTCCTGAATGCTCACAATGGGAACCAAGAGCCAGGAACTCCAAGGTCTCTTATGTAGGTAGCCAGGACCACTGTTGCCTTCTAGGATCTGCAGTAGCATGAAGCTGGAAGCAGGAGCAGAGCCAGGACGCAAACCCAAGCACTGATGGGAATCAGGTGTCTTAGCTGGCAACTTAACAGCTAGACCAAGTTCCTGCCCCTGGGTTATAGTCTGATTTCCACTTGAAAACTGAGGTTGGAAAGGAACAGCCTCAAGGACCCAATCACGTTCTTCAGCTTTCATGATTGCAGCCAAGCTTCCTGGTCCTGGTAACATACCTGGGCTTTACTTGAGATAAATCCATGTGCTGCTGGCCTTTGGCTGCAGCCTTCCACATGTGCTGTGCTCTTGAATCAGTGGTGGCTCTGGCAGAGTGCCATGTCACCCCCATCCAACGTTAATCGGTTGGCAATTGCTCTTTTTTTTATTTTAGTCTTGAAAAGCTTGTGATAAAGTCTTTTATTATTATTATTTAAAGGTTTAATTAGTGAACCAAGAATCTGATGAGAATCCTGTGCTTTTAACAATACGGTTTTTCCAAATCATACCAGAGTATATTTTGCTGTATTTTGTGAAAAAGCTCTGAATCTTAAGTAAAATTGTCTTGACCATAAACATAACCTCAGAGTGGCAGGTTTATTAGTGCTACAGATTAAAACAGTTGCAGAGTCAAGACACTAGCAAAACAAGATGATGTTGAAAAAGATATTTTGAATTTTAAAATATGCCATATTTTTACAGGAAAAGAGAAACCTCCCAAGCTTAAATGACCTGACTTCTAAGCTGATATGACCCTGTTAGAAGTAAGAAGTAAAATTTTTTTTAAAAAGCAAAGTGTATATGCCATCCTAAGCAACATCTGTAGAACTCTTAGCAGAGCCTGCTTATGTAAAATTTCTAAATAGCTTATCGGATACATGAAACTTTTTTTTTTCTTCAGGTGAACCTGTTGACAACTTGAGTCATTGCGGCTCTGTGAAATGTGTTGATTTGCAGTCTGGACAGGGCTTAAAAGGAACCTTTTCGAAATATTCACTTCTCAGGGTAATGGCGATAACTTTCACCATATTCTTTACGCCTTATCCCAATGTTTTATCATGAGACTAGTTCCCGAGACCTTTGAAGAATCTGTAAAATAGTCTGAGTAAAACAACTTTTGGGTTGTGATTTTCTTAGTGGGGTGTTATTTAAACATCTCAGTTTCTTTGAAGGCATCTGTTGAATTTCAGATCTGGTTTTTATACTATACTGGATGTAGACAAATAAAATGGTGGCCTACTGGCCAATTTAAAGAGAAATTAGTTTTCTTAATAATGTAGTTAAGTGACAAACTCTGAGGAACAAAACACTGCTGCATTTCAATGCTATCTGCATCAGCTACTGGAAGCCAACAGAGCAATGCAACCTATTGGGAAAACTGGCTGGCTGTCATTTCTTCAGAGAGCTTTGTAGCAACTTGTATAGCAATTCTTCTGTACTTCTTGAGAGGTGAGTATGTCTGCAGCCAGAGTTGAGCAGTGTCTTGTCCTGGGCTACACGTTAGCAGGGTCTCAGTGATGCCCGGATGATCACAACTCTATGAGATTCTAATCATTGAGATGACCATGAATTAAGACCTCGGGTTTTTAAGAGAGAGACAAAGATTCATGTTTAGGAGCTGCGGGACCTCTAGCTAACCTGAAGTCACCTGCAAGAAGCGTGCATTATCTTCCAAAGGAAAGGCACTGCCTGTGGTGGCCAGGAAATCTCCTGAGGCCTCTAAGGGAACCTGAGATTTAGTTGCTTTACAACTAAATGAAGATACTTCAAAAAGTTCATAGACAATGAATATCATACAAAACCATGCATAGATTTCCATTTTTTGTACCAAAATAACTCTTACTTTCCACAAACTTTCTGACATGCCCTTGTAAATCTTTTATATTGTAAGCCAAAGGAAGTTCTAACTGATTTTGCTTTGAGATTTTCAAAAGACCAGAGTGAAAAGCCCATGCTCTGTCCATTTAAAAACAACAGCACAAAAAGCCAGTGCTCCATCAGGGACATTCACATTGACAACCAGCCTAGGACTCTTCTTGGAGGGGATATCTTTGATCTAGGAGTGAAAGGAGTAGTAGGCCCATGCTAAATGTGGGCTATTGTTCAGGAAATTCAATGCTGATTTGAGCTAGAAATTAATGATCAAATCCCTGTCAGTTTTCTGAAATCATTGTAGAAATATTCCTAAGGCCTGAACATTTCCAGTGTTCTCCTAGTTTTGTCTGCTGAATGTGGCAGATTTCAAAAGCAAATGATTGCAATCAAATTGATGTCCCACTGCTGTTGCTTACTAGTCAATCTGAAGTCAGTCACTGAGACTTTTTTTCTATCATTAGGAAAGTGAAAATAGTACAGTTTTACTCCATCTCAAGCACTGGTTTTGAGGACTAAAAATGATAAAAGCAACTGGTAAACTGTTAACATTCTTTTAAGGCAATATTGGTTTGAAGTTTTTTCTCAGTTCATGCTGTTTAGAGACATTGTTACTGAATAATTCAAAATAGTCTTTCAAACTTGAGTAGGTCTTCATATCAGCATACAGGGTATACAAGGCTCTGAATTTGACGTTAATATGCTCTCCAGGAAACCTACCCCCTCTTAGATTTAAATGCGCTATTTGTTTTATAGTAGCAATGGATATTTGAATGTTCTATAGTAATTACCAAAACACGGACACGTATTACCTTATTAAGTCATACCAGATGCTGCAAAATGTAGATGGTATTACTGTTCCTAATTATATGCCTCAAACCAAGGTCTAGCTCCCCGACTATGGCTGTGAGGTGACTAGCAGAATCGGAGGGTGTAGCCCATAGCTGGGAAATATTTTCTGTGTACAAGGCTAACCATTTGTGTAGGTTTTCAAATTTATCTAAACTTCTTGGTTCTGAGCTTCCTTACCTAAGGCCCTGCTGCAGGTAGGCCCTTACTCTTCATGCACAGGGAGTCCTAAGAAGATTGCCACAATAAAAAGACAGTGTTCTAATAGGCTATTAAATGTATCCCTTTTTAAAATCATGAACATTCAACACTGTCAGGTGACATTCTAATCGAGGAATAATAAATGAAAGGGGTAACTTCCTCAAGGAGCTTACAAGCTAGTACAGATAAAATTGTCATGTGCTCCAGAGTTCACACAGTGAATCATGGGAACGCAGTCCATGGGGAGACTGCTTCCTGGGATGAGGAGGAAGGGGCTCACACAGCATTGGCTGGGCGTTGAGGAGTTAATGGCTGACCCAACAGAAGTGGCTGATGGCAAAGGAGAAAACACAACTCAGGAAAACTGGGAATGGGAAGTGTTTCCATTTGAGCTGTAAACATAATGGATTAACTAATTCAGTTATTTGAGTGTATAAATGTGCCAGGCATTTGTCTAGGCCATAGGAATATAATAAGGAAAAATTTTGCACAGTTTATTGTATGTTGATTAAAACTAGGGAAACTTGTCTGAACTGGTTCCTGGCTTGTGAAACTTACTTCAAGTCAAGAAAACCAGAAAATTAAATTCATGAGACCAACAAGAGCAGCAACTCAAAGGCCAAAGTGAACCCATTTTGGGGTCATTGAACAGGAATGAACTAACTAAAAGACTGGGGAAAAAATGAAGTCAAGAACAGGAAATCCTTTGCTCAACCAAGATTTTCTGTTGGTCCTATCTATGACACTGAGTCCAGGCCCTTTCAGTACATATTTGGACACCTACCACGCGCCAAGCAGTGGCCCAGCCTGGAAACATGAATAATAGTATGATCCCTGCACTAAGGAGCTTATGGTTTAGTGGGAAGAGGCCTCAAATAATGACCATTGAGGGGGTGCACATTCCAGTGGTTGGAAAACAAAAGCGTAAGTTCATGGAGTCTAATACAATGCCTTGGATGACCATGTCCACAAAGGTCAGCTGTTCATGTGGAAATTCCCTTTTAACTCTTCCCTGCCCTAGAGCAGACATGAAGCCTGCACACAAGTGATGTATAGCCATCGCAAACCAGTGTCTTCAATTTAACCTTTTTTTTAAAATTTTTTTTAAAAGATTTTATTTATTTATTTGACAGGTAGAGTTACAGTGAGAGAGAGAGACAGAAAGGTTTTCCTTTTTTTTTTTTTCATTGGTTCACTCCCCAAATGGCCGCCACTGCCGGAACTATGCCGATCCAAAGCCAGGAGCCAGGTGCCTCCTCCTGGTCTCCCATGCGGGTGCAGGCGCCCAAGCACTTGGGCCATCCTCCACTGCCTTCCCGGGCCACAGCAGAGAGCAGCTGGACTGGAAGAGGAGCAACTGGGACTAGAACCCGGCACCCATATGGGATGCCAGTGCCACAGGCAGAGGATTAACCCAGTGAGCTATGGAGCCAGCCCCTCAATTTAACCTTGCTCCCTTGTGGTCGCTGGAGACCAGTGGCAGAAAGACTCAACTCCCAGCAGAGACAGGTGCTGTGAAGAGCAGCTCTTCGGATGGTCCCAGAGGTTGCTGTCTAGAGGAAGAATCACCATGGGAACAGAAACGCAGTGGTGCCGAGTGTTGATGAGTGACTGGTACCCTTGACCATTCATTCCTCTAGAGAGGGATCAGTCTCAAGGGAGTTGTCAGGCCCTCAATTCAGGAGACTAGATTATGTCAGAAAGAAAACAACTTGCAGACCCATATGGGAGAGACTTATTTTATTCAGTCAATATACATCGAACACCTCTTGGGTATAGGAAACACTGCTGGGTATGAGTTCCTGCAGTGAGCAAGGAGCCACACTCCTGCCTTCAAGGGACTTACTCTCCAGGGAGAGGCCCACAGCACCTATTTCCTAGTTCTCGGCAGTTGTGATCGTCATTACCAGCCAGGGTTTGGGAGCCATGGGAGCACGAAAAATGACCAGACTTGAAGGGAGCAAGGGAAGGCTGATGGCCTGGGAAAGCAGAAGATGGCCCAACTCCTCGGGCCCCTGGACCTGTGTGGGAGACCTGGAAGAAGCTCCAGGCTCCTGGCTTTTGGATTGGTCCAGCTCCGGCCATTGTGGCTGTTCTGGGAATGAACCAGCGGATGGAAAACTTCTCTGTCTCTTCCTCTCTCTGTCTGTAACTCTGCCTCCCAAGTAAATAAATCTCTCTATTTCTTTCCTTTCCTTTCCTTTTTTTTTAAAGAAGCAGCCTAAAACTAAACTATTAAGAAGGAGCCACCATGTATGTCAAGGACAGATAGCAATCAGCAAGCCCACCAGCACCCAGGAGCTGGAAGAGGATACAGCCCTTCATGGAGCCCATCTTGACCCACGCTGACTTAAAAGAGAAAGACTTCGGTTTTCCAGAAGTTCTTGGGACGGGTGCTCACTTATTTGTTATTGCCACATCCTAAATAATTAGCTCAAACAAAAGGGCTTACATTTATAATTTATATTATTATTTCATTTTGACTTACTGAAATTGCATGATGCAGTAGAAATGTAATGTTTAATCAACTACTCTGACCCTCCCGGTACATACAGGCCGAATATTAGCCCAGTGTTCTGTGCAGCACGTAAGAAATGCTCACTGAACGCTTAGTGTGTAAATAATTGTGTAGGTGAAAATTGGTTTGGACTCAATCTTTAACTTCTCATCATGTGTTGATTTTGACATAGCTTGGTGGCTGTCCTCAGTGCCGAGCACCAAATATTTTCAGTTATTTGCCTTCCCAGCACACAGTTGGGATGACTTCTCCTTTCTGGAAGTCAGATGCGGCGTGTGACTCGCATTGCTCCATGAATGTGAGCAGAAGTGAGGGCTGCTGCTTCCAGGGGAAACTGAGACTGTGCCTGAGTGCAGCCTACAGCAGTTGCCACTGCTGCTTGGCCTGGACCTCCTTGGCCTGATCAGAGCTCATCTGTGGAGTTTCATTCATCTTGTCTTTCTCTGATGAGATTCTATAGTTGAGAAGCGTCATGGGCCCAGAGTTGGGACATAACAGAAGTGCCAATTTTGGGGGCTGGTGTTGTGGCTCAGCAAGTTAAACTGCCCTCTGCAGCACCAGCATCCCATATGGGTACAGGTTCAGGTCCTGGATGTTCTACCTCCAATTCACCTTCCTGCTTCTGTGCCTGGGAAAGCAGTGGAGGATGGCCCAAGTGCTTGGGCCCCTGCACCCACGTGGGAGACCCAGATGAAGCACTTGGTTCCTGGCTTCAGCCTGGCCCATCCCTAGCCACTGAGGCCATGTGAACCAGTGGATTGAAGACCTCTCTCTCTCTGTCTCTCCCTCTCTATACATAATTCTGGCTTTCAAATAAATAATTAAATCTTAAAAAAGAAAAGAAGATCCAATTGTTAGCCATAAAATCAATAAGACATGGATGAACACCCAAGTTGAATTTTAAATAAGAAAGACAACCATTAAAAGAAAAGATGGGGTGGGGGGCAGTGTTGTCGTGCAGCAGGGTAAGTTGCCACCTGAAATGCGGGCATCCCACATGGGCACTGGTTGAAGTCCTGGCTGTTCCACATCTAACCCAGCTTCCTGATAATACATCTGGGACAGCAGCAGCAGATGGAGCAAATATGTGGGCTCCTGCATCCATATGGGAGACATGGACGAAGCTCCTGGTGCCTGGCCGTGTAGCCACCTGGAGAATGAATCAGCAGATAGAAGGTTGGTCTCTCTCTCTCTCTCTCTCTCTCTCCCTGTAACTTTGCCTTTCAAATAAACAAATACTTAAAAAAAAAAAAAAAGAGTGAGAAAAGATTGAAGGGGTTTCTAGGCAGAAGGAAAATACAAACACAAACAGAGCAAGATGAAACAGTACGGATTGGACAAAGAACCTCAAACACTTCAATTGCCCTGGGCTGTCCAGTGTGAGGCTGTAGGTGGCAATAGTCAGGGGCCACATCATAGGGGCCTTGCACACCCGGGATAGAGCAAAGCATTTGTCAAAGCTCTAGGAGAGCCTCAGAAGGGTTTGCAGCAGGTGAGGGAGCTGGTCATAGCCAGGGGTCATTTTGTAGGATGCACTCAGGTTGTAGCATAGGGGGTGGCTCAAAGCAGGGGCAAGTCTGGAGGCAACTTCGTTAAGAAGCTAGTGCATGACCAAGAGAGGGATAATAAGGGCCTAAGTGGTCAATGGTAGCAGAGATGGTGAGAAAGGCGTGGATGTCTACAAATGATTAATAAGCAAAACCTACAGATGTGGTGATTGATTGGAAGTAGAAGGTAAAGGAGATGAAGTTGTCTAGGATGATTCTGATTTTCTAATGCATAGTGGTGCCATGGAAGGAGGAGAAACAGACTGGGTTTGGTAAGCTCAGACTTAGACAAGGAGAGCTCTTTTTAGAATACAGATTGTGCGGGTTTCTTTGTTTCTGGAACATGCAAACTTCTTTCTACCTCAGAGCCTTTTCCCATTCTGTTGCCTTGGCCTGGAAGACTGTTTGTTGTCCCACCTGCTCACTTGGTTGCACCCTCACATCTTTCAGGTCTTAACTAAAATATGACTTCTTTCAGTAAGCAGTCGCTTAGGCCCAGTGTCAGCTACACACCGGGTATGTGCCACCACAACCCCTTGTACTCTTTCTTTGTTGTAGTTTTCCTAAGGGCAGTTGAGCAATTGTAACTATTTAGTTGCAATAGAAATGATTCCTTAATGTCTGTTTCCCCATAAGGGAAGACACTGGCATATTTGCCACGGTATTCCCAGCACCAGGCATGGGACCTTGGATGAATGAAGTAGACTAAGCAGGGGCAGTCGGGAGGCAGGAAAAGACCCAGGAGAAACTGATGTCGATGATGTTGACAAGGAGGAGGATGACTCAGCAGTTTCAAACAAGGCAAAGAGGTCCAGGAACACGCAGGCAGAGAACTGTGCATTGCTTTTTGCAGTTAGGAAGTCACTGAAAACTTTGTCACAAGCAGTTTTGGCGTGGGTGAGAGCCAGATTGCGGTGGGTTGAATAGTGAATGGAAAGTGAGCGAGCCGAGGCCTCAAAGTCACCACTGGCTCTGCTCTGCGAGCAGGACGGGGAGGGAAGCGATCCTCCTGTCTTCATCCTGACTCACTGCTATCTCCTTCCAGCCTCCTCGCTCCTGTTCTGCATGCCAGTGAATCACTCACTTCTGACTCCGGGTTGTTCTCTTGGATGTCAGGACGGAGAAGAGCTGCCTGTGGAAGTTGCCCGGGAGTTCTTGATGGCTCCAGCTGAGACCTGAATGAGCATTCCCTAATTTCTGAAGAAATGGAGATTTTAAATGTAAGTGCCACTTTTTAAAGAGACCCTGCCTTGGGTTTATTTGTGTAAACAGCACAGAAAGACAGCAGCTCCATGTAGACGGCATCCCAGGGTCACACCAGTCCTTTGTCCTCATGTTGGCACACCGCGGCTGTGATGATAGAGCCTTCATGGAGGCCCTGGGGGCCTTTGGGGGTCTGATTCTTAGTCAGAACTAGAGCTGGAGCTGCAGGTGCAGCCTGGGCCTGGGCCTGGGCCTAGACCTGCGGCTTGGCTTCAGCCTTAGCCTTGGCCTTTGACCTTTGACCTTTGACTGAGATAGCCTAAGACTTTGGTAATTCAGGCATGAGTACAGTTCCTGAGCTTGGGGTGGGTGACAGCAAGTTGATTGAGTTTGTGGCTGACATCCTTTGGGATTTTGCACTTCACTTCTTTGCTGTTCTCAGCACATGTACTCAAAACCTTGGCATTATAGGCGTACTTCTTTCTTGGGCCCTTCTTGTACTTTTTGGCAAAATACATGTTCCCCAGGAACTAGGGGTTCCCTTCTTAAGACACTCATACTTTTGTGATATGGGTTTCTTTCTTCTTAAGATTTATTTATTTATTTGAAAGGCAGAATGATAATGAGAGAGGGAGACACACACACACAGAGAGAGAGAGAGAGAGAGGTCTTCCATCTACTGGTTCACTTCCTAAAGGGCCACAACAGCCAGGGCTGGACCACAGCAAAGCCAGGATCTGGGAACTCCATCCAGGTCTCCCACATAAGACTCAAGTACTTATGCTGTCATCTGTTGCTTTCCCAGGTGCATTAGAAGGGAGCTGGATCAGAAGCAGACTAGATGGGACTTGAGCTGACACTCTGACATGCAATGTGGGCTACCCAAACAGTGACTTGACCAGCTGTGCCACAACGCTCGCCCCATCTGGATTTCTTGATGCTATTTCTGTGTCATTTCTCAGGACTGGTTGCAAGCGATGTGGGATTTGGTCACGTCGGCACTGTAACCTGCAGCCCCTGAAGCACCCAGGACAGGATCTGAGTGCTGCTTTCACTCATTTATGCAATAACAGTGTATACCTCTCCTTTGATTCATTTTCTTCTCTTTTTTTATTTTAAAGATTGATTGATGGATTTGAAAGGCCAGGTTCAGAGGGAGTGAGGCAGAGGCCGAGAGAATCCTTTGATCTGTTGGGTCACTCCCCAAACAGCCACAACAGCCAGGGCTGGGCCAGGCTGAAGCCAGGGGCCAGGAGTTTCATCCGGGTCTTCTACATGGGTGCAGGAGCTCACGCACTTGTGCCATCTTCCTTTGCTTCTCCAGGTATTAGCAGGCAGCTGGATTGGAAGTGGAGCAGCCGGGACTCAAACTGGCACCCGAATGGGATGCCAGTGTTGCAGGCAGCAACTTAATCTGCTGTGCCATGGTGCTGGCTCCTGATTCATTTTCCTTTGACTCAGCCAAGATCAGTAAATAGTATGCAGTCTCAGTTTGCCTGGCACCCAGCCATTCTGGAAGGATAAAAGGGATAATAATGACAGTTAGTGGTTATTAATAAGGGGACCCAGTAATTAGCATTTCCCTTCCTCAATTGGGTTTTGAAAAAACTGAAAAATAAGACAAGAGAGTTGTACAAAAGCCAAAGTATTCCCCTTGCTTTTTGCTAAAGGCTAAGCTGGAGGGTGTAGCTATGGAGAGATGCTGGCGAGCTTTAGAACGGAGGAGCCCTGGGATTAAGCAGACTTCCATAGCCAGCCGCAGGTAAGACTGAGGCATGGTGGGACAGAGAAAAAGCACTCCTGGAGGGCTCGGGGAGAAGCAGACAGTCACCAAGCAAAGCAGCCCACTTGATTCTTCCCTGAGTGGTCAATAAGACAATCCTACCACCTCCTCAGAGTCAGGACTGGCAGAAGGTAAGGCCAAGAGGGCAGTTCTGCTCCCACCTTCCTGGGACTGCTCGTCCCAAGCAAGTGCTCCTTATTTGGGTATCTTCCCGGGATCACTGAAGGGCAGAGCAAATGTTGTCACTTGAAGGCACTAAAACTGCCTCATGTGGTCCAAGTTCACTGTGTTCCTAAAGCTGAAAACTCACTTCCTTTTCCAGAACCCACCCAGCCAAGTTGTCAGACTTAGCACAGAAGTTCCACAATGACATTCTATTTTGAAATACAGGATCTCTGATAGTACTATGCAAGAATATGTTCCAGTAATAAAAGGCCCAAAATATAAAAAATTTCCCAAATCGGAGTACCCGAATTCAAGTCTCATGTCTACTTTTTATTTTTATTTTTAGGATTTTATTTATTTATTTGAAAGACAGAGCTACAGAAGGAGGGGGAAAGACAGACAGAATCACACACACACACACACACACACACACACACACGGTGGAGGGGCGGGGTGGAGATTCTGTCTGTTGGTTCACTCTCTAGATGGCTGAAACTTCCAGGGCTGGACCAGGCCAAAGCCAGGAACCAGGAGCTTCATCCGAGTCTCCTACATGGGTGCCCAGAGCTCAAACACTTGAGCTGCTTTCCCAGGCCATTAGCAGGAGCTGTATTGGAAATGGAGCAGCCAGGACATAAACCAGCACCCATATGGGATGCTAGCATCACAGGCAGTAGCTTTACCCACTAATAATAGTGCACAGTGCCTGCACTTACCTCCTCTTCTGCGCTTCTAATTCATCACCCTGCTAATACACACCCTGAGAGACAGCAGTGATGGCTCAAGTAGTTGGGCCCTGCCATCCACATGGGAGACCTAGATGGAGTTCCAGGCTCCCTGCGTTAGCCTGTAACTGCACTGGCTGTTGCAGGCATTTGGGGAGAGAACCAGCAGCTGAAAACTCTCTCCCTGTATGGTTCTGTATCTTTCTTCTTTCTTTCTCTCTCTTCCTCTCTCTCTGCTTTTCTAAAAAAAAAAAAAAAAAAAAAAAAAAAAAAAAAAAAAAAAAAAAAACCTTCCAAAGTTCATGAAAAAATGGAATTAAAAGGTTTTAAAATCCATATATATGGCCGGCGCCACAGCTCACTAAGCTAATCCTCCACCTTGCAGCGCTGCACACCGGGTTCTAGTCCAGGTCAGGGCACCAGATTCTGTCCCAGTTGCCCCTCTTCCAGGCCAGCTCTCTGCTGTGGCCAGAGAGTGCAGTGGAGGATGGCCCGAGTGCTTGGGCCCCGCACCCCATGGGAGACCAGGAGAAGTACCTGGCTCCTGCCATCGGATCAGCGCGGTGCGCCGACCACAGCGCGCTGGCCGTGGCGGCCAGTGGTGGGTGAACCAACGGCAAAAGGAAGACCTTTCTCTCTGTCTCTCTCTCTCACTGTCCACTCTGCCTGTCAAAAAAAAAAAAATCCATATATAGAGTTTTCATAATATACATTCTCCATGAATTTATTGCAGACCAGTCATGAATTTAAAAGCCTAAAACAAACTACGATTTAAATGTTCAATTGCTTATTCTGGTTAACTTCAGTATAGGCTTCTCAAATCAAAAGCCTGAACTATCTCTGATAGGCAAGTGCATCATTCCTTCACGTTCCCAGAAGTTGCATTGGTTCAGGGTCTAGTCTCTCCAGACCTTTCCTTTTCATAGAGTCTGAGAGAGAAAACACAGACACGATAATCACAGTGCTGGCCTCGGACCCTCTAAATTTAGGAAACAACCTATCCCCAGGATGAGGCTAGCTTTCCCAGAATCCAGAACTCACTTTTTGCCCAGGTATTTATTTGTTTATGTAACACAAGCTTCCAGGTTTGTCTTACAAAGTTTCCTGAGTGAAATGTATCAAGTCAGTACTTTTTGGTCTGCAAAAGGCATCCATTGTTCAAATACAGCTTGCTCACCTTTAGTTCCTTTGGTCACCATCTGATTCAGACGCAGATGCAATTTATCACTGTGCCCTCGCTCCTCTTTATCTGCCTCACCTGTACAGAGCCTTCCCTGTGGGTTCGCAGGTTCCCCCGCACAAGGCCTCTGGCCCCATCAGTAATGATGCTACACCGTGAACCTCGCCCAGCAAGTACTCAAGAGTATATCAGTGATCTCGATCTTTGCTCTGAAGTCTGTCTAAGCAGTCTGCCCCGCTGAAGCATTATTTATTTATTTGAAAGACAGAGACAGAGAGAGACTGATAGAGAAAGAGCTTCCCAAATACCCATAACAGGTGCGGCTGGGCAAGGGTCAGAGCCAGGAGCCACGAACTCAATCCACGTCCCCCATGTGGCTGTCAGGAATCCAATTACTTGAGACACCATAGCTGCTTCTCAGGGTCTGCATTGACAAAAGCTGAAATTAGGAGACGGAGCCAAGAATTGAACCCAGGTACCCTGGCATGGGATAGGGGCCTCTTTAACCAGAATCGTGACCACTAGACTAACTGGCCCCTACTTTGTACCATTCGATATGATTGTCCTCGTACTTAGAAGGTGGTATGTTAATTATAATAATTTTGGATTCTCTTTCCTTCACCTTAAGTCATTCGGCTCTCTCTGGGAGAGTCATACGAGCCTGCTCTCATACCCTGCTCCCTAGAAGCTACTAACAAATCCTCACCTCTCCCAACACATTCCCTTCTTCAAAGATAGGCATCCTCTGTCTCTTTATTCTATTTATTTATTTTTATTATTTTATTTTTGACAGGCAGAGTGGACAGTGAGAGAGAGAGACAGAGAGAAAGGTCTTCCTTTTGCCGTTGGTTCACCCTCCAATGGCCGCCGCGGCCAGTGCACCGCCCTGATCCAAAGGCAGGAGCCAGGTGCTTCTCCTGGTCTCCCATGGGGCGCAGGGCGCAAGGACTTGGGCCATCCTCCACTGCACTCCCGGGCCACAGCAGAGAGCTGGCCTGGAAGAGGGGCAACTGGGACAGAATCCAGTGCCCCAACTGGGACTAGAACCCGGTGTGCCAGCGCCACAAGGCGGAGGATTAGCCTAGTGAGCCGCGGCGCCGGCCCTTCTGTCTCTTTTTAAGATTTATTTTTTCATTTATTTGAAATGCAGAGTCACACACACACACACACACACGGAGAGAGAGATATCGCCCATCCACTGGTTCACTTCCCAAATGGCCACAACAGCCAGGTCTGGGCCAAGCCAAAGCTAGGAGGCAGGAGCTCTATCCAAGCCTCCTATGTAGGTAGCAGGGGTCCACGTACTTGGGCCATCTTCTACTACCTTCCCAGTTGCATTAACAGGAAGCTGGATTGGAAGCGGAGCAACTGGTTCTTGAGCCAGTACTGTTATGGGATGCTGGTGTCACAAACTGTGGCTTACTTTGCTGCACCACACCCGTCCCTGGTATCTCAGTTCTAATTTTCAAGTCACTTATGGTGAATCAAGTTGAGCATGTCGTATATTTGAGGCTAATATGTATTTCCTTTCCTCTAAATTGTCTGTTGAGTTCATTATCCCATTTCACTATTGAATTGCTGGAGTTTTTTCCATGAATATAAAGGAGCTCTTTATGGGAGGTTATCTCTACGATACAAATTGTAGAAGTATTTTCCAGCTTGTCCCTAGTCTTTTGACTTTGCTTAAGATGTTATGTTGACATAATAATTTTTATATGCTGGTATCGATCAGTCATTTTAGCCTTTATCAGGAGAAAGTGTCTCAGCTGCTCCAGCCCTCCAGCCCCTTAGAGACATCATGTGGTGTTGGTGCCCGGGTTTTTGTGGGGTTTGTGACTTATCTTCCATGCTGAGAGGCAGGTTAAGTGTATTACCACTGGGTCATCTGCTATTTCCTGCTTACCAGGTCCTACCAATTGTGACTCTTAAGCCTCAGGGTGACTTAAGCCCCACTGCTGGTCAATAGTCCTGGAGACTTAGTTTTTGTTTTTGCTTTGTTATCGTGGCCATTGTTATGTACATTGGGCAGGACCTGCACCAGCTGCCCTATAATTTGGTCCTAAGGAACCGACAATCAGCCGCTAGAAGATTGCAAGCGGATAAAAGTGCTGAAGGTCAGACCCTCTGAAAATGATCCTGACTTGCTTCCGATTTCTGTACTGACATCCACCTTGCCTCTACCCAAACTCTATCACCCCTGGATCATGGTTATTCTCCCTGTGGAAATCTGGGAGATTTTTGCCAATTGGGGGCATTTCCCAATAGCTGCTATGGAAATATTTCAAAGGTGCCGGTGCTCTTTCAAGTGTTAGACAAGGTCTTGATGAACAGAAGTCTTCTAGCCCTTTAAGGGGTTTAGTTAGGAGATGAGTGACCTGTGGATCCTTAAAAATTCACTCCAATGTTCCGACTTTTCTAAGCCTTTGAATTACTCCCTTTACATTCTACCAAGGCATTTCTGACAACTCAACTTCAATTAACATGGATAAGCTAGGGCAGAACCCTCAAGGCTCAGCTATGTTAGTGCATTAGTGGGAATGACATCTCAAACTTAGCTAAGACTTCTCTCACCTGGTTGTACCATCACTGCATAGTATTCATGGATGATTCCAGAGTACGTGTTGGTGGCCATAACCAAACTCATCAGGCTCTCCACTGGTGATCACAGAGGTGTCCTCTGCATTCTTTGGCCTCAACAGCTCTCACGGATCCAGCCCTCACATCAGTGGAGTGAGAACCATGACTGAAATCACTGTAGGCTGAAAGAAGGAAACTCATGCCATCTTCAAGGGCCCACCTGCTTGCAAAAAAAAAAGGAATTTTTTACTTCTCAACAGACATACACTCTAATTCCTGCTGCATTTGTGGGTTTTTTTGGTTTTGTTTTTGTTTTTTGCCTCATCAGGCCTACTTGAAGCTTTGTTGTAGCAGTTCTGGGCAATAGTTTGCCACAGTGTGCTGGAATTTTAATATAGAAATGGAGCACACAGTTATAATGGCCCCCAGCTATTTGATCTGAACCAGTGATTTCAGAATATCTGGCAATTTCACCCACATTGATAATTTCAGTCTAATCCAAAATTTTAATCTGTTCTATTTGATCTAGCACCCTAATAATAACTCTTAGGTATTCTATTTTTTTCTAATACAAGTTAGCAAAATAATCTCCCCTCAGTCTGACTTTATAATTGGCCACCTTTACATACTTGGACTCTGAGTCTAGTTATGGTTTGGGAAAAAATGGAGGGGAGGACAAGTGAGGAAGTTGCTTCCTTTTGCAAGCAGATAAAAGTGTTGCAGGAGCTTTAAGTAAAGCAAGTGTTCTGGTTTGGATAGTAGTTTGAACATTTCCCGAAGGCATATGCATTGGGGGCTTGGTTCCTGAAACCTCATATAGTGGTTAAAAGTAGAGACTTAATCTAATTATGGAGTCTACGAGGTGGGCAGAGTGAGAGTTCTTTGGGTCATTGGGCCATGGCCTGCGAGGGTAGTTCTTGAGAGAGGGATGGTTATAAAATCAGAGTTGGGCCTGGCTGCTCTTGGTGATTCTGGCTCCCATGCAATCTTCCCTCTGCACGTGTTCTGCATCCATTGCCCTCATCAGATGCCAGACGAGTGGCTCCACCCAATCGCAGACTGTGAACCTCCAAAACTGTCAGTTGACATAGACCTTCTTCTTTCCTAAGGAGCCACTCCACAATATTTGCTGCAGTAATGATAAGCTAACACAGCGAGATATATTCAAATGAAGGAAGGCAGGGCAGCTTCCTGTAGTGATGGAAGCACAGAACACGGTGGAAATCCCAGATACGATTCTGCAAGTTTTCTGGGAAACATTCTTGCCCAGCCAGGGTTCTAATTTTCACTGTTTACAGCTGGGAAAGCCATCAATTCAACTAATCGTGTAATTTGACAATTACTAAGATCCAACTTGGTGTTTGGTTTTCTCTCTCTTAGCCCAATAGCTACAAGTGATGTTTTCCTTTAAGTCCCATGTAGTCTTTTGTTTTCAGCTGGTCCTTGGTCAACAATTTAGAACTCTGAGTTGCTCATTTTCTTTACTTTTTAAAAGATTTATTTTAGAGGCCGTTTATTTTAGGGGTTGGCGCTGTGGCATAGCGGGCGGGGCCGCCACCTGCAGTGCCGGCATCCCATGTGGGCACTGGTTTGAGTCCTGGCTGCTCTACTTCTGATCTGGCTCTCTGCAGTGGCCTGAGAAAGCAGTGGAAGATGGCCCAACTCCTTGGGCCTTTGCACTCATGTGGGAGACCTGGAAGAGGCTCCTGGCTCCTGGCTTTGGATCAGCCCAGCTCCGGCTTTTGGGGAGTGAGCCAGTGGATGGAACACCTGTATCTTAGCACTAGGCTTGACAGCTTGCCGCAGATTTTATACATATTTCAAAAGCTTACGTTCTATATGTTAAGATGAAAAATAGCAGAGTCATAAAATAATAAAATACAACCTCTTCCAAGAAAGTTTTATCCTTGATTATTTTTGGTGTGATATACTAAACCTTCCTGGATTCATTTTTTGGTTTGTTTGTTTTCTTTCAAGGAGAACCAATTCTAGCCCTATCCCCACACAGGAAATTGGGTTCAGGGAGAGGCAGCCGCAGCCACACAGTGAGTCCTTAAGTGGCTGTGTGTTTCCAACACTGAGCCTCTAGCCATCACACTAATCCTGGCAAAATGAGAGAGAGTGCGCCAGATCAAAGCCCAAAGCCCATTTGGAGAAAGAAAGAAAATAATTCCAAACTTCTCCTTTGATGTCACATTAGACCATTAATATACATCACATCTGTTTAATTTAAAACTTCTGCTCAGAGCTGGTATGAGTTAATTGCACACCTCTCAAGACCCAGCATTAAGGCAGCATGCACTTGGATGGGAAACGTGATTTGTGCTGTAGTTAATGAGGGAGTTCAGAGTCAAGCCCACAGTCGTGCGTTCCGCGTGCTCTCCTCCAGCCTGCCTGTGTGTTCCCATAAATAACATCTGCAGTTCACGAGGGAATACACGCTGTCCAAAGGTGGGGTTTGTTGCCCTGGACACTGCCTTGTGGTTCCCTAGAGGATAAGGAAATGTCTGTGTGGAAGTGGTTCTCTCTTTTCTCTCTGGGGGCTACAGTCATGTCCTTCTGTTTTATTCTATCTCATAATAGTAGGTGGTTTAAAAATCTACAAAGCCTTCAAAATATCATCTCTGTTATTATTCACACTTTGAAGCATAGTGCTGTTTTCTGATTTAAAAAGTTTTATTTAATTGATTTCTAGAGACTGGGAATGCTGGGGAGAAGAGAAATGGAGGAGGTTGGACAATGTGAACCAAAACAGAGCTAGATAGAAGTAATGGCTTCTGGTATTCCATGGCACAATGGGGCAACTACAGAATACACTAATAGATGACACATTCTATAAACAACTGGAGAAGGGCAGGCATTTGGACTAGGATTTAAGATGTCTGCTTCCCAAAACAGGGTGCTCACATGTGATTCCAGGCTCTGGCTCCTGACTCCAGCTTCCTGCTAATATCAGTCCCCAGAGGCAACAGTAATGGCTCAAGTGGCTGGGTTCCTGTCACCCACGTGGGAAGCCTGGATGAGCTCCTTCCTGGCTCCTAGCTTCAGCCCAGTCCTGGCACTGAGGGCATTTGCGGGAGTGAACTCATGGATAGGAGCGAGTCTCTCTGCTTCTCCTACATGACAAAAAAGGAGAGAAATGCCAGGAGGACGTATAATATTCAGTAGAGCTGATAGGCTTCAAATATGATGGGGAGGCCAGGAGGCTGATTGCCTGATGTGATCATTGATCAACTTACCTTTTATATGTGTGTTGAAATATTACCTTGTGCTCCATAAAGGTATATAGAATTACATGTTAAAACATTTTTTTAAGGCCGGCGCCGCGACTCACTATGCTAATCCTCCGCCTTGCGGCGCCAGCACACCGGGTTCTAGTCCCGGTTGGGGCGCCAGATTCTGTCCCGGTTGCCCCTCTTCCAGGCCAGCCCTCTGCTGTGGCCAGGGAGTGCAGTGGAGGATGGCCCAAGTGCTTGGGCCCTGCACCCCATGGGAGACCAGGAGAAGTACCTGGCTCCTGCCTTCGGATCAGCACGGTGGGCCGGCCGCGGCAGCCATTGGAGGGTGAACCAACGGGAAAAGGAAGACCTTTCTCTCTGTCTCTCTCTCTCACTGTCCACTCTGCCTGTCAAAAAAAAAAAAAAAAAAAAAAACAAAAAAAAAAAACCATTTTTTTAAAAAAAGAGAAAGTTTTCTGTTAGAGATTTTCATCAAATTTTCTACAAAAACTGAATGAATTGAAACAATGGGAAATAATTAAAGGTACAAGACTTAAAAATACAAAAAGTTCTGTTTTTCTCTGGCAAATGTGGAAAATTCAGTGACAGCACATCAGACTTTAGAGGACTTGACTTCTTATCTCCGTAGCCAAGCAGGAAAAGCAGGTGGACATTCCTAGAGAGAAACAGGAAGGGATCATCACAGGTGCTATGTGAGCAGATCAGAGTCAGGGCTCTGGATGCAGAATGGGACAAACTGGTATGGATATGTGGGAACGGGCACTTCCAGGAAAGGGACTCCCAACACGAGAAAACCATACGGCCTGAAACCAGAGGCCTTGTGCAGAATACTTGGGAGTTTATAGACAATTAAAAAGAGAGAGAAAGTACTCTGAACAGTTTGCTGCCCTTCTTACAGTCTTTAAGTACAGCCCAGGTAGGCAAGAGGAAACCTTTAAAAGGAAATATAGGATTTAGTTGAGCTCCTTTTGAAGTCAGGAGGGAAAGAGAGAACAAGAACACTAGAATGATAAAGACCAAAACACAGCCAAGGTCAAGGCTTGCTAGCTTTCCTCAAGGTTATTTAGTGAGCTCTAATATCAACATACTACACTAAAATGAACTTTCCCCAAACAGTCCCAAGGAAAAGGGAAGTGAACACATATCCTGGGGAGGTGACAGAGGACGAGGGTTGGGAGGTTGGAGAGATGATGCTGGCACCACCAAAATTTCTTTTAATTTTTCCATTTAATCTTAAAAATCATACAAATGTTCTATTTTATTCATAATGTGGTTTTTTTGCTATAAAATATCCCAGGCTAATCACCATTCAGCAAAACTGACCTTTCAAGAAATTGTATCTCTTTTAGTCTATAATTTTGCAAAGCCTGTAGCCCAATGGGGCCTATACTGTCTATCTGAGAAACAGATGGCTAACAATTAGCTCATTTTCAGATGTTGTATCTGAAAATATTATAACTTTTAGTTAAGTGTATTCAACCATTTAATCAAATAGTTTTTTGAAGCCAGGAACCAAGAACTCAGTCTACGTCTCCCACGGGAGTGGCAGAAAACCAATAACTCAAGCCATCTCTGCTGCCTCCCAGGCAGTAGCAGGAAGCTAGAATCAGGAGCTGAAGCTGGGAATCGAACCCAGGTACTCTGATGTGGGACAAGGACATCTTAACAGTGAGGCTAACCACCTGCCTTCTTGGCTCTGTTCTGTGGTTATTTGGGCAAAAAGAGCTGGCATTAATTCCTGCAAGAGAAGCTTAGTTCAATCAAGGGCATTGGTTATTCTATAAAATTCCATCCAAATCTAGAGTTCATGTTACATGACACCATGTGTTCCCTCTGGTTAAAATAAGGTCAAAAATGATATTCTTTTTTGTGTCAGAAAACAGATATTTCATTTGTTCGTGTTGAAAGAACACTAATTATGGCTGGCGCCATGGCTCAATAGGCTAATCCTCCGCCTGCAGCACCGGCACCCCGGGTTCTAGTCCCGGTCAAGGTGCTGGATTCTGTCCCGGTTGCCCCTCTTCCAGGCCAGCTCTCTGCTATGGCTTGGAGTGCAGTGGAGGATGGCCCAAGTGCTTGGGCCCTGCACCCCATGGGAGACCAGGAGAATTACCTGGCTCCTGCCATCGGATTGGCACGGTGCACCGGTCACAGCAGCCATTGGGGGGTGAACCAATGGAAAAGGAAGACCTTTCTCTCTGTCTCTCTCTCTCACTGTCCACTCTGTGTGAAAAAAAAAAAAAAAGAAAAGAAAAAAACCACTAATTGTGAATTTAAGCAACGTGAAGGGGGTGCTGGGTCCCCAAGGCTGCATTTTGCATGACTGCTCCTCTCGCTTCCAGAATTCTGGGATATTTGAGGTGTAACTACAAAGAAAAAGTGTCAAAAATGTTTTGAGAAATGACAGAAAACATTATTAAGTAAATATATAACAAGAATAGGTAATGGCCATTTGAATATTTAAATTACTTTAAAATATATATTTTTTAAGATTGATTTATTTGAAAGGCAGAGTTACATGGCCCAAGTGCTTGGGCCCCTGCACCCACATGGGAGACTCAGAAGAAGCTCCTGGCTCCTGGCTCTTGGCTTCAACCTGGCCCAGCCCCAGCCATTGTGGCCATTTCAGGAGTGAACCAGCAGATGGAGGACATTATCTCTTTCTCTCTTTCTGCCAGTCTGCCTTTCAAATAAATAAATAAAATCAAGCTTAAAAGAAAAAAGAAGCAGAATGACAGAGAGGGAGAGACAGAGATCTTCCATCTGCTGCTTTCTCAGGATCCAGCTTCCTGCTAGAGCACCTGGAAACGTTACCTGGGAAGGTAATGGATATTGGCCCAAGTATTCCTGTCCTTGCCACCCAATTGATTTCCAGGCTCCAGGCTTCAGCCTGGCTCAGCCCCTGCTGTTGTAGGCATTTGGGGAGTGAACCAGCAGATGGAAGATCTCTTTCTTTCTCTCCCCCCGCCCCACCCCCGCCTCTGTCACTGTGTCTTTCCAATAAATCAATCTAAACAACCAATCCCCCAATTCCTATACTAACCAATATTTATTCTGCCTATAAATATAGATAAGGGGGTTGAAAAAAGATTCAAGTCTTGTAATTGAACATAAAAATTTAACGGTTCCAGTTCCTAAAGTATATTATATCTACACGTGTGTTAAAGGTGGGGGAGGGGAGGGACAGGTGTAAAACGCAGTGATCCGCAGGGCTTCGCCGCTTTCCCAAGCTGAACAAATGGCTCCATTATACAGAAGATCAAATTAGGACACCGCCACTGAGGTTTCCCGTGCCTCAGCCTTATCTGCATTGACCTTCCCTTCTGAACCAATCTGCAAAAGTCCTTCATTGGCCGGGAGGCAACTCACAGACTTGGGAAGGTCCCCTTTACGACGGCCAAAGAAATTTACTCCACAACCGGGCTTGCAGGCGCGTGCCAGGTGTTGCCCTGACACGGGACCCACAGAAATCTGTGACCTAGGGAGTTCAGAGTCCGGTAGGTAGACAGAGAAACGGGGAGTTTTCTGGGACAGAAATGGTGTCTTGGAGCCAACGGGTGATGTCCAAGAAGCAAAGGCAGAACAGAGAGGGAACCGAGACCTTGGGGTGGAAAATGCTCAGGTGGGCTTTGAATCTCACGGAGGGTGTTGGGCCACCCAGAGCGCCCTAGACACGGGTCAGTATCAACCCAAGGCCAAGAGGGCTGAAGCGTGGAGTGCAGCTTCCCGCTCAGGGGGAGGTCAGCATTCCCCGCGGAAGCACCAGCTCCCTGAGATGTGTCCAGCCCTGGTGGAAAAGATGCCTCTTGGGCTGCGATTCAAGTTAAACTTCTGCGGAGCTTCAAAAGCGCAGACTTGGCATCCAATTCAAAAGGCTCCTCCAAGCTCTTTTCTATCCAACTGCAACTTCTAAGGCAAAGTCATTGTTTACAGCCTGGCGAAGCTGCAAGGGTCTAGAAAAAAACAACTTGCCCTGACACAGGGGTTTACAACCACCCTCGGACTTGAGCGAGAAGCTTCCAGCATCGCGGCCCGTCTGGCTTCTGAGGGGATCCCAGACTTGGGGCGACTCCTTTGCCACGAACACCTCTAACCTCTTCGCGTTTGCACACCTGGAACTGAGGTGTCGCTGTTTTGCAGCCAATCCCGCCCCGCCCCCGCGGCCTCGCCACTCTCTCCGCGGGGGCGGGTCTGCGCCCCAACACCTGCCCATACTGGGGCCTGGGCTTGGATGTGTGCCCGGCGAGGCTCGGGCAGCCCGGGGCCGCAGGGCAGTCAGAGGAAGCAGCGCCGCTCGCTCGCCTGCCGCAGAGGGCGCTGTACCTGGCTGGCGGCGATTTTGCGCTGCCACGGGCTTGTGTACCTTGCGCCAGGGACTGAACTCTGCAGATTCGGTATCAGTGTTCATAAAATGGAGTTAATGATCCTTACGTGTTGCAGCGTTTGAGGATTCAAAGAATGATGTATCTATACTATCTGTATGCCTAGCACACAGGAACTCCTTAGTGTTGGCTTCTTTTCTTTCTCTAAATTTAGCCTCATTCAACAAATAGCTACTCTGGGTCTACCTACCAGATTCCAAGCACTTGAGGATGTAATTGCAAAATAACCCTCAAGAAGCTCCTTGTCTAGTGAAGAAATCGGACGACGACAGGGATGAG